TAAACTAAATATATATTCAGTATATCCTTGTTAAATGATATTTGTTGCAACAAGAATTTTTCCGATATTTTATTCTCTTATTATATTAACGTCTCATCTCATCTCATATATTATCATTTGTTTTTTAAAGAAATCTATGGAGAATATTTATATATACTTGTTTTAAATATGTCTTTAATATTAAACTTGTCTTTAATATTAAAAGTTAAAGTATAATATATTAATGTCCTCCGAGAGAAAAATGCGATTTTTATCGCAATTGAAAATATTAAATGATTAATATTAAAGTGGTATAACACAAGAAAATACTTTTCACTTTTCTCTACTTTTCCTCAATGAGAAATTTGAATAGCAATAAATAGATCAATATACGTCTCTAAGTTACATTCTTCGGTATTACATAGGCGCAACATTCTCATAGATAATGGGAGTTGATTGACTTACACAACGGAGAATACACAGATTATTCTATAATCCATACTGCGTAATGCGTATTGCGGATTAATACCATGTGTGATGACTTAATTGATTCGAGTCAAATCCGATCATGACATAATATTATATATCTATCAAGTAACCAACAGTTTCCAATATAATCTTCAACATAAACACGTAATAATCATAAAATATTAGCATAACCAAAGAAGTAAATATTCAAAAATAATTACTATATTCTTATATCACATTCTTATTCACATATCAACTAGGAAAATAATAGACAATATTGATAAAAATGTCAGTTTATTTCTCCGATTTCTTAAATCTTATTATTTGATAAGAATGATTCAAGATAATTCAATATTAGCCGGTGATAATAAAATTTTGAAGAATACATGTTATTCTCCATGTTTGCTCCACTGAGAATCACTGTCGGAACTGTGCACTCGATAAGGAGGAAATTCAAACAGCGAGGAATTTGAAAAGTGCGATTCTCTCCGTGCGTCGAGGATGCATTTTAGGAGGCATCGAAATAGGTTTAATGACGAAGCTCAAGGACAAGTAACAAACTCTACGGGCCACAAAGTGGGCGTATTGTCCTACTGTGATACACGATTCACGTACCACTACGTCTTTAAGCTCATTGTCGAGAGCCCCCATACAATAAGTCAAGCCGACGAATCGCGAGAGTAAAGCCAATCATCAAGCCTACGTCGCTCATTTAAGCGAGGATTCCACGCTAATAATCCTTTAATGAGGACAAGATGTTGTACGATGGGAACAAATATATTCCTCACGTTCTTAGGAGCGCGATTTTTTTCGAAAAGCAAATTAAATATCTTCGATGATTTCAAAACGTGTGATCTTTAAGCAAACTGCAAATTTAGCAGAAAAATATAAATTGCACATAATGAAAATAAAGAAAAATTGTGTTAAAATCTTGCTAAAGTAAGAGAAAATTTTAATCAATATTAGAAAGATATATATGTACCAAATTGATGCGTATAAATGCTATCGCATATAATCAAAATGAATTATATTAATTTTGGGAAAATGTTGGATCATTTTCAAATTCAATTTATCAAAAGCAACGTATAATAAGGATCAAAGTAACCATAATGTAATATTTTGGCATCGCGTCTGTTCGATATGAAACAGATGGAACGACCGGTGAGCTGCAGTCATGGCGTTAATTGCTGATCAAAGGGTCAGATTATGCAACGGTTGTGCTTCATCTGCGCTCTCTGACCGATGCATCTCTCTAACTATGGTCGATCCAATCTTCGACCGATTTCACGTTACGCCGAACAAAGTACTCGTCACATGGTCAAAACGATATTTCAGCATTATCAAAGCATCAAAACAAAGTTGTGCAATCTCTTCTATGGCTTTCTAGCTTGTTCGCAGAGTCCCCGAAAAAATACAAAAATCATTGTTAAAATTATCATTCTTAAGTATCTACTTTTCAGAGCAATCCAGATTGGAATTCTGAGATAATATTTTTATATCAATCAACTATTCACTTATTGAGTTATCTTCCGTTTCTTTCTGTAATTAGGATAATTTTCATAAAAATTTGATTCTTGTCATTCGTTAATACGTTCAGAAGAAGTGAATACATACATGGTATCTTCATTATTATATGAATGTGAATTCATTTTCCTTTATGAGAATGAAGAAAGGAATTTCTCCAAGAGTATTCTAATTCAATTTCCGGGGAAAATTCGTAGCATCATTGAGTAATCGCGATTAACAATTATTTCGTCTGACGGTCTGACGCACAAGTCTGGTCGTATCGATATAACGGCACATAACGGTGCAACTTGAATATTTGACATTTGAAACTACCGTGCCTGTCATGAGCAGAAGCTCGTGGCACCGAAGGCAGAACTTCATGCTTGTTTTAACTTGATTCGTCAATCGCACGAGCTTGACGAGTCCTTGAGTTCGTGATCCCGTCC